CATATACTTCAATGAATATAATATGAAAATGAGTTAGTTACATAATGTTTCATCAAACATTGAAAAAAAATGTAAACTTTTTAATCTTATAAACAGTATAAAAGTATAATTTTATAAAATATATATTATTATAAATAAATAAATAAATAATATTAAATTATATTTTATCGTATGTGACTATAGTTGTAGCCTAATAAATAAGATACTTTGATAACAACATAATTATATAAAATGCGTAAAAAAATTAAACAATACATATAAATATGCCAAAATTCTTTTAACAAATAAAATATTATTTGTGAATACAATAAGAAACAAATAAAACAATAGTAAGAGAATGAGTAAAAAGAAGTCGGATTTTTTTTAGAGAAATATGAATATCAACATCTAGAAACAAAAGTCTTTTCTAATTACTACATTTTTTATTACTGGCGTTTAAATTCTCATAAATATTGATCCTATATTATAAATTTTGAATTTTTAAATAATTAAAAAAATAAAAAACTTTGTAATACATAAAGTATATTTGTATAATGAGTTTGTGATAATAAAGTTCACAGAGAAGAATATTATAATATAATAGATTTTTAATTTTTCTTCTCTCTAAGATTTTAACAAAGGATATGTTTCTCAATATTATCTCATTGTTTTTTTCCTTTCATTGTTAAGGAATCAAGAAAAGATATTTATCATAAATTTTCGAAATATTATGATTGATGCAAAAATTTGGACAATAAATGCGTCAGAAATCATTGGAACAACCAAGATGCTCAATGATTTGCAAACAACATATTATATAGTTCGTCTATCTTCTAAATAAATAACATTGAAAAGGAAATGTCGGGGCATGAGCTAAATATTATTGAATTTTTAAATAAAGTTATCATATTTTGATAGAAATATTTACAATTTCCATTGGTGTATTGTACTCGAACATATGTGGAATTCTTCTAAAGTATATACTTTCATGGAATGTATGATGATTTCAAAAAATAATTTAGTTTTCATGTAATGTGTGATGATTTTAAAAAATAATTTAGCGTCTCGGGAGAAGTATATGTAACCAAGATTTTGAAAGGTCAACTTTTATTTGGAAATGAAACTCATTCTCACCTCGTGGGGCGATGCCTCCATGTGGGAGGTGTCAATTTGTCTATATGGAGAGAGAATAATGAATTAGTTTAAAAAAAATATATCAATAATTTTATTACACGGTTGATTATTTCACTGAGATATTCATTAATTGTTATTAATAATACCTTATAAAGATCATAACCATAGAGTTTGACTATATATTTAGACAAAATATTTTGCATTGTTTGAATAAAGTAGACTTTTTATCTAATGAATTAAGAAGAATTTGTCTATTGATGTATAGAACTCGAATGGGTACATATGGTTTTTTATGAGAACGTCTCAATACTAAAATGAAAGAAAATCACTCTTGAATCGTCAAACATTAATAAATAAAAGAACTAATGCATTTATATTATAAATTATGTCTTTATTTTGTTATTTAGTGTCTTTTATTAAAAAAAAATTATTGACTCATTTTGCATATATTTTTGTTGGGGTTTTAATATGTTATTTTATTCTGTTTACATTAGTACATCGTTATATTATTTTGAAAAAACAAATACATTAGGACATCATTTGTTCTACATTTTATTTTGTTCTTGCAATGATATGTTTAATAAACTAATTAATTTATTTTACTAAACTTAATCGGCAAAAAAACATTCGCCGCCACGTGCGATGCACGTGCACTTTACTAGTATTAAAAAAGTAGCTAAACTTTCAGGAAAGCATTCCACTCTCCATTCGCAACTCTTTCATATATATATATAGGTGTTTGGTACATTACACTTAGGATTTACAAAGAAGATTTTCTCTTCTAAACCTACAATTTAATCACCTATACTACTACTTTCTCGATCACAAATCCCTTGTGGATTTTTACAACACGACTCCCTCGTATTGTTCTAAGTGTTCCTCCCGAACACCTAAACTATCTCAAGATATGATTAAGAGCACTGGGATCGAGAACAGACTCTCGTTCCCGGCTACTCCGAGACATTCAACGAGGCGGATTTTCGATGAGTGTAAAATTAGACGATCTCCATCAACGAAAATCTACAGCGTCTCAGAGTCTACAATTTTAAGCCGTAAGTATTCAACTTTAAACCTTAGAATCTGTTGCGCATTGGTTTATTGTTGTTGTTTAATTCGTGACTTGCACTTAACAAGATCTTTACCGGTCCCTACACATACGGTTCATCATCTTCTCCACAACTGTTTACTGACTTAAGCATCAGAGCTTCTAATCCGGGACAACCCCCACGTTGTTTTTCAGGTCATTTATCGGCTCGTGGACGGATCCAAGGTCATTCAACCGGGTCGAGGTCGTTTGACTATCAGTATTGATAGAATCCAAATCTACATGACCTACTCCGAACCTCTATTATTATTATTTTTTAAAATGATACTTATCACTTAATAGCATTGTAATAATTTGTTTTTTTTTAACTTTTATTATATAATACTTTTTAAGTCATATTATTTAGCAATTTAATAAACAAATTTATTTAATTGATAAATAAATTTACTATTTAGTCAAATAATAGTGATATATAATTTAAGTTTCATTTTGAAGGTAAATTTGTATTTATTTGTGTTTGTAATATAGATGGTAAATCAAAGCTTGTTATGAGACAATTAATTTGATATATCAATATGAAAATATGATAATAAGTACGAAAGCAATTAACTCTTCAAATATATTTGTATTGTAGACCAATTAGTACAAATATATACTTATATTACTCAGACCAAACACATTGAATTATGAATCAAGAAATTGACACGTAGGATCATGACATTCTACATTAATATATACAGAGAATATCATTTAGTATTAATTACAGTATTATGCCTTTTATTTATTTATCATGATTTATAGGAATTAATATCAATTAATATTAATATATTATATAAAAGCTTATAAATTTGAATTATGTTACTTGATAAATTATTAATAATAATAGTCGTTTTCTAAAATAAATGTTATTATTATTATTATTTTTTGGCCAACACTTCACAATAGGTCACCCATTAGCTGAACCTTATTTGATACTTATTGCTCGGAAAATAAGTTTAATTTAGTAGAATTTGTCTTTTCAGAAATATATGTTATGAATATATTTATTATCATGTTAGATACATATAGCTCGAAATAATTATTTTATTTTTTTAATATGTAAGACTCTTAATATTTATTTATATTTTATGATAATTATTACTGTTATTTTCATTCCTACTATTTTTACTATTTAATCACTCATATATTTATATGTTACGAGCATTAGTATTCGACCCTGTGCATTTGCACAATGTAAATAGAATATTATAAGTTACATTTATGCATATAGTATTAAAATTATAAGTTATACAATGGTATTATATTTTAAACATAGAGTATTAAAAGTTATATTTATGCATATAATAATAAAAATATAAATAGATAATGATATTATGTTTTAAAATTTGATCATTGGTTAAAATAAATAGTACATAACTATTTGATTACATATGAACCAGTATATTAATTGCATAAAATATAATAAATAATGTAATTTTGAGAGATCGCCAATTTATTAGCTTAAAAATATTAAATTTATTATAACATTTGATTATGCGATTTTAAGAAATTCTACTATAACATTAAAATAAATTAACTTATTTAAAAATACAATCTCTAAATAAGATAAAAAAAATATAATATGGATTTTAGAATAAATAACTTTAGCAAAAAGTTTACAATAATTTTTTATGTTTATGTAACTTTCATATATCATTTAGTGTAACCTATAGTTATTAGTTTTAATAATAACTATTATATGGTATAATAAAATAGTATAGTTATTATTCCGTTAATATAAAATGTAACGGTTTTTGTCTTAGTTAACAAAAAAAAGTGCAAGAAAATATTTTAACATTAGTGGGACAGGGTGATTAATGTAGTAGTAATGTTGGATTGTAACGGGAGGGAAAATGTCATATAGCTAAAATTTATTAGGTTATATTTGATGATTTGCTAACAATTATATACATATAGATTGATAATTATGAGGATAGTGAGATTGAATTAAAATTGAGTTAGATTTTGAATATCAATTGAATATGTATTTAATTATTTTTATAAATAATTAAAATTATAACCAGTATTCGATTATATGCATATGCACAAATATAAAAAAATTATTATAAATTATATCTATTAAAATTATAAATTATATAATAATATTATATTTTAGAATTTTGAACATTAGTAAAAATAAAACACAGGAAACAGCCAACAGAGGATTGACACAAACTGTTTGGCATAAAAAATGAAAATCTGGCAAATATGAACAGAATTTATTGAAGGTGACCTCAATCAGCTTCTTCCTAGCTTCTTGCAATTCATCGTTGGATCTCCGTTCTTTCACAATGGGATTCTGGTTGAGTGTGTTAAAAAATTCCAGCTTGGCATCTATCTGCTTTTCTAACTCTACAATCTTTTTCTCACTGTCAAAAGGTCAAGGTGTAGATTTTTTAACTAAAAGCTGGAAAATAAGAAATAAAGAAAGAAGCTTTGCTCCATGATGGTTTTCTCATTCTGCACGGGGGTATGAAGTTATTGAAACTTAGTATATTCTGAAGTCTAGTCTAGTAAGTATAAACAAAAATACACTGCACAAACTTGCGTTTTCTGAAACCATTAGAAGATAAGTTGGAAGCTGAAACCATTCCATGATAATGTATATAAGAAAGATTGTATCTATCACTTATGCTCATGCTTAAAAATTGTACATAATGATTGCACTTATCCTACTGTGAAAGAGAGCCTTGAGTGCATCAATGTCAGGAAACCGATTAAAATGAGTTTCTGATAACAAACTTAATGATAAGATGCTTTATTTTTTGATTCTCAAGTAGAAGTAATTAATTAACAAATGGGTTTATCTGCAGCTTTTCTCAGCTTTAAGCATTTCAAGATTTATGATCTCATTTTCATTCCTAACTTCACGCTCCTTCAGTTCCTTTTCAAGTTCGTTGAGATCATTCCCCTTTTTCTCTAGCTCCAATGTGGATCTACCGCATTCCTCTGAAATTCTCTGAAAATGATCATGTGCATTCATTTGCATTGCATCCTCTCTCTCTGTTAGAACAAAGCAGTAATGGCAAGCAATCTTTCCATGTGAAGAAAATACTAGGCAAGGATGATATCAAACATGGTCTAACGATTGTTAGAGTAACCTAATCATTAGGTGAAGAATATACTCTTTTTACATATAAAGTAAAAAAAGTATGCACTTTAGCTCATAGCTAATGGTGATATCACAAGACATTGTGTTTGTAAAAAGGGTGAATGAAATTAGGGCAGGGTATCAAAGGAGAATCATTAGCTAATGAGTATTATTATGTCCTCATACATACACTGTTTTGTAACTGTATTATGATTCAAGCATATCAAGTCTGCAACTTTCAAGTCAATCAGGTATGAAAAAAAAAACCTCTTCTCTTTTGGATTGTGAAACATAGTAGCATGCAGTCAGTTAGTAAACGACACGAGAAAAAAAGATTAAACAAATACATAGAATCCTACTAGAAACTGATTAGTTATCAAGGTCTAGAAATATGCAACAACATATGGATAGTATCATCATTATTATTTAGATTGTTAGTGAACACTTTGAAGAATAATAGTGTGCACATTGTAAACACTCCGAGGAGGCAATGTCATTCATTCTAAAAGCATGACATTGACATCCTAAGTTCCTAACTGAAACTGAATGATATTGAGAACTAGAAAAGAGCCTAACAAACATTAGGAGGGAGAAGTGTTATACTGTCAAACACATTCAAACGAATACTAATTATATAAGAAAGGATAGATTAGCATGAATACACTACAGAATAACTCATAACAAAACAAGATATAAGATTCAAACTGTCATATCCATCAAAAGAAATCTAAAAAACAGATAAAGGTAGGAAAAATATTAAAAACAAAACAAATAAATAGAATCCTAAAAAGTGACTAGTTATGATGAGGGTGTAAACCAAATAGGTGAGGGACTAATCCTTTTCAATCTCCCTACTTCGCACGGATAATAGCAAGGGGAGATAGTCTTCTTCTCGTAATCATAAATCCCAATATCGTGCCCCACATACATTTTTTCCTCCTCATAAATGTAATTCGAATTTCGCGGGTTGAATACCTTGTCATCCGTGAAGTATATGGAATCGGGCTTCAGCTCACCGTTTGTAGGCATCACCGCGAACGAGTGGTTAAGCCCAACAAACATTGCCAGCCCATTCAACGACCCATCAACATACCTCAACTTCCCTCCTCCACCTTCTTCCCGATCGATCTTATGCACATCAAAAGCCACCGTTTTGTATGGGTATTCATTCTCTCTATCANTCAAAAAAGGAAAACAATTAAAAAACAATAAACATTTATGAAATTGCAATAGGTCCTTGAACAATATCTAATTTTCAAAAAACAAAAAATTTCACCCTAATCCCCAAATCAATCAACAACTTGCAGGTCCATTGTGTATTTTGTAGGCACCTCCGGCCAGGTCTTCTCCGAGTCTTCTCCGAATCGATCGAGACTGAGACGCCGGAAACGATGGATTCTCCGACGACGCCGGACATGACGGCGGAGCTGGGCGGATTTCTTCCGAACATTTGAACCGCCGAGCTCGTAGCGGACTTGGATGGAGGTGGCAGGCGGGACAGTGGAGGCATCGATTTCCGGTGGTTAGATGATCACGGCGGCGGCCGGTGTGCGTGTGCGGTGGAGGAGGACGTCGCGAGCTAAACGGTGGCGAAATAGTTCACCACTCCCTGCAGCTAGGCGGCACATGGCGGACGGGCGGATGCGGATGTTGGTCAGTACCGATGCCGGCGGGAGTGCGACGGCGCAGTGTTGAAATCCGGCGGAAATACTTTGTGTGTGTGACAGGAAGGTGTGTGAGAGAGGGAAGGAATGTGGGAGAGAGGAGGTGAGGTGTTGGCAGGTTGGGTCACACGTGAGTAAATGTGAGTTGGTGTTTGGGGTGGGTCCCACTGTTTTTGTGTGGACAATTACCACATTGTCCTTAATGAAGGTATAATTTTGACTTCCTTTTAGTCATTAGATCATCCGATCTAAGGGCTACTATTTATTCCTATTTCTCGCATTAAGGATCATTCTCACCGGAGCGTGACCCTATATATATATATATATATATATATAGATTATTGTTTATCCACTATGCTATAATATTACTTCGTTTATTGTGACAACTATATTTAATAAAATAGCTAACTTACTATGTTATTGTGTTCGTCGGCCTTGTTACATTTTAGATGTGAAATGCATTTTATTTGGAACAATATATATGCCACATGTATGTCAAATAAAAAATCATTAAAAAATAATAAATTTTATATATCATAATAAGAGGAAAGAAATAAAATATCATTAAGTTTTAGAAAATGAAATAAGAAATGATATTTTCTAAGTTAGATTATTTTTACCAATATTTCAAAATAAAATTAATTATATTTCACTAAATTCATCTATTACATTCCATAGATAAATTAGTGATTTTGGAAAAATATTAATAAAATAAAAAATACATATAGAACTGTGATAATATTTCCATGTACGAGAATTGTATATATTTATTGATAATATGTTACGAAATAACTAAAACTTTAGATACTTATGTTATGCAGCCACTAATTCTAATATATTTATTAATTATTTATGGTCAATTTACTTGAGGATTTTATTTTTTATTTTTTATTTTTTTGAGGAAAACATTTGTGTACAATAATTTACATGTTGGTAGTGCGTATCATTACGGAATTTAATGACCTCGGACCAGTGTCAAGACTTTTAAAATCTTGAAAAGTCTAAATTAAGAAAATCAGTATTTCTAAAATTTTAAACATCTTTAAAATTCTCAAATTAATACACTTTTACCTTATATTTAAGCAGACCGCACTCTAGTCGTTCCTAAACTTCTACATCCAAAGGGCATAAATTAAAAATAACGGTATCATATTCATACATTTGAGGTTAGTCGCCCTCAAAATAAATTATAATGTCCCTAGCTATCCATCGCCCTGCACTGCCTCTTTCCACTTAGATTTCCTTCAAATCATTAGACTTCAGACACTTCACCAAATGTTTATCATCAATGCTGGCCCTGGCTTCAGGCTTCTCTAATGTCCTGCATTTGTGGTTTGTATTGGTGTATTTGGTCCCTTCGTTCCATTCTCTCTTTTGTATTAGCTTCGTTCGTGAGGCATCCCCTGCCTCTCTTCACTCCAATCGCCTGTTTGAGTCATAGTTCAGTGTCTCCTTTGGAGGCTTGGCCACCATGATGTGTGGTTCTCAGCTTCTTAAGACATTGGGCTATTTAGTTCCCGGATGTATTTTTATTATTGTGATTGATATAAAAGTTCCTATCGTTGCCAAAAAAAAAAAAAAAAAAAAAAAAAATGCTGGCCCTGGCTTCAGGCTGATCTGGAACTTAGTCAAGCCTTTACTTGATCCTGAAACGTCATAAAAAATTCAGGTTGGTCGTATTAAAATATTCACCAGAGCATAAGACCCACTACTTAGACATTAATACACGGGATGACATTTTGCACCCTTGCAGGTTCTTGACAGCAAATACCAAGGCAAATTGCTTGAAGCAATTGATGAGAGGTGACTCATTTTTATTTTTGTTTCCCCTTGCATAATCAGTTTTCTATATGTTTTGGAACTCATTGGACTGGTGCTTCGGAGGTTAGCGAGCTGCCGTTTTTTCTTGGTGGTAGCTGTACTTGTGAGATTGAGGGTGGCTGTTTGAGGTCAGATAAAGGACCCTGGAGCAATCCAAATTTATTAAAGGTGATAAAACATGTTTCTTCACAATTTGTGTTTTTTCTGAAGTACTGCTTGTTATGTAATTGACCGTGGGTAACCTCTAAATGCAGACGAGTCTCGATGTTGAAGTGCATCCCATCCATAAATGCCCATTGATGTGACGTAATCGATGGTTAGATTTATTCTTATTTCTTTCCCTGCCCATTGATGTGACGTAATCGATGGTTAGATTTATTCTTATTTCTTTCCCTATCTTTTTTCTGATATGATCCTTTCTCAAGTTTTAGAAAATGAAATAAGAAATGATATTTTTAAAGTTAGACTATTTTTACTAATATTTCAAAATAAAAGTTAATTATATTTAACCAAATTCATCTATTACATTCCATAGATAAATTAGTGGTTTTCAAAAAAAATTATTTGATGATAATACAATAAAAATTACATATAGAACTGTGATAAATATTTCCATGTACGAGAATTGTATATATTTATTAATCTATATATATATATAATAAGAATTACCATTTTTCAAAAATAGTAAGTCAAATCTTAGTCAAACTCCCATTAGCATTATTACATGCCATTTATGGCAATTCTTTTATTATATTCTTTCCTACCAACAAATGCAATTTAGTCAATTTTCTTAATATCACAATATAGTTTGGATTTTCTACCCTACAATTGTGGAAGATCATCTTTTTCTTACCAATATGATAAATATCACATAATTTCGAATTGAAATCTTTTCCTACCTTTTTGGCTTTCAATTTTCGTATCAATCTTTAGATATTTTTCCAAATTCAAAAATTAGCTCATGTCCCATGATACCAATCTAATTATTCTCAAAATATTTGACTTCGATACACTGAACCTGGATACAATTGAAATTATATTATCGTCCCCCCAAAACATTGATATAATATGGAATGATGCTCTTTATATTGTGGTATCAATTGTCATACATAATTTCATTTTTTCGAATGATGCAAATATTTTAGGTAAGTATTATTTTATTGAACTTTAGTTAATAAATTTATTTCTTTTGTTTTATAACAAGTAGTATGTTATTTTATGAAAATTTTGTTTATTAAAATAAATTCTTAATTTACATCTTTTCCCCCCCTTAAGAATCATATAACATAAATATAGAAAACATCTATATACATCTAAAAGGTTTTTTCTAAAGATCAAATTTTTTCAAACAGAAATTTCGTTTATTAGGAATTTTTCTAAAACAGATGTAAATCTTGCAATTGTGTGTCGACCAGATTTCTAATAAACGAAATCTAGTCGACACACAAAGTAACCTGTTTTATGAGGTTAAGGGAACTTACATGTAAAAAATAATTAATTTATCTTTAAATATATAGTTTATAATCTTAATATATTATCATTTGTTGTAGACATTTACTATATGAATCATAAATTTTTTTTTATATCATAAAATTAATTATATTTAAAGAAAACCAGGAAATTTCTTTAGATCAATCGGGTGATTGAATCAGGTTACTACCCAGATTGATTGAATTAATTTTATGTGATATTTAAAATAGTCAAAAAACACACAACTTGGATGATTCCAGGTGATTAAGTTATGTATTAGTTTGACCAGACAAAATTGGTTATTGAACCTAAATATAACTTTTAATATTGAAAATACTTTATTACATGAATGTGATGTAGTCCAAACTTCAAATAATAAGATTAATAATACTTTTATGATAACATGTTTAATTATATATGAATATTTATATATTATTTTATTAATATTTATGTGAATAAAATAATATTTTATTATAATTTTTATTAATGTATGACAAATATAAGGTTCTCAGAAATGGACCGTCATCGACCCGATCAAGTTGTTTTATTCAATGATTTTTATGGTTTGTTCAGATTTTAATTTATAAAGTTATATATATATATATATATATATGTATATATAGACTTTTTGTAATAAATTTAAATAAAAGGTATTACTTAAATATCTAAACAATTTAAAAATTCAAATGTTTAATCCAATTAATAAACAATTTATAAATCTCTATTTTATTTAAATATGTGTTTTTATTTAAAATTTTAAATGTAACAGAATTTATTTAGAAGATCGTATTTATCCTACCAGTCTGACTGGCGGGTGTGTACGGGTTTGATAGCAAACATTTTATTCAAGCAAACTGGACTGGTTATAAACTGGTTCTCGATCCATCTGGTCGGACTGTCCAGCCCAGTTTAATTTAAAAATAATAGGTAAATTATGATTAATGCTATTTATATATTTAATTTATAATACAATCGTAATATTGTTTTCTCGTGCATCACACGGGTCATGCACTAATAGTATGTTACGAAATAACTAACTTTACTTATGTTATGCTGCCACTCATTCTAATATATTTATTATAATTATTTATGGTCAATTTACTTGAGGATTTTATTTTTTATTTTTTATTTTTTTAGAAAACATTTATCTACAATAATTTACATGTTGGTAGTGCGTACCATTACGGAATTTAATGACCGAGGACGTCAAGACTTTTAAAATCTTGAAAACTCTAAATTATATAAATCAGTATTTATAAAATCTTGAAACATCTTTAAAATTCTCAAATTAATACACTCTTACCTTATATTTAAGCAGACCGCACTTTACTACTATAGTCGTTCCAAAACTTCTACATCCAAAGGGCATAAATTAAAAACAACGGTATCATTTTCATACATTTGAGGTCAGTCGCCCTCAAAATAAATTATAATGTCCCTAGCTATCCATCGCCCTGCACTGCCTCTTTCCACTTAGATTTCCTTCAAATCACTAGACTTTGATTCTCATGATCATTCGCCAGCTCAATATCCAACACCTTCCAAATAATTTCTTGCTCAGGTCGAAGCATCCGAACAGCATATCTTGCTCGTTCTATCATGGACACCACCTGCTCGATGAAATTCCCGACCCACCGTCCATCACCCCTCTCATGCTCAATCTCATTCATCAAAATCGCCAGTCTGAAGCACTCTCTCTTTTCAAGAGACACATCACCGAAATCGATGAATCAGACATTGCACTTGTTGCCAAGGCCTGCATTAGCCGCCCGAAACTCGGCCCTCAAGTTCACGGTTTTGCCATTATTTCTGGTTTCACATCATATGTCTCCGTGTGTAACTCCTTGATGAACATGTACTGCAAGTCGGCCGATTTTGGGACGGCTCTGCGTATATTCGAGCACGCAAAGAACCCAGATACCGTTTCTTACAACACGGTGCTCTCTGGCTTTGAAAATCACATAAATGCGCTCGTTTTCGCTCGTGAGATGCATTCGGCAGAGGTCCCGGTTGATGCGGTAACTTGTACTACCGTGCTTGCTCATTGTACAAACGGCCTCGAGTTCGGTTTTGGATTCCAACAACATTGCCTGGCATTGAAGTCCGGGCTGAAGGCCGAGACTTTCGTCGGGAATGCTCTCGTGACATTGTCTTCCAAATGCAGCATGATGCAAGACGCTCGTTTAGCGTTCGATGAAATTCCCCAAAAAGATTTGATCTCGTGGAACGCAATCCTCTCGGGATACGTTCTGGAGGGCGGCCACGGGCTAGAAGCCCTCTCGGAATTTCTCGAGATGGTTAGAAGGGGTCTATGGCCCGACCACACCTCATTCACAAGTGTAATATCGGCCTGCGGCCACGAGAGGGACTTGGAATTCGAGAAGCAAGCTCACGCTTTCTCGGTTAAAAGAGGATACGGCAGTCACGTCTCAGTTTGCAACGTCTTGATGTCGATGTATTCCAAGTGTGGGAACACAGAAGACGCGCGGTTGGTTTACAAGAACATAGCCAACCCTAATGTGGTCTCCTTCACAACCATGCTCTCCATTGACGAAGAGGACGCTGTAAATTTGTTTCGGGAGATGACGAGATGCGAAGTTCACCCAAACGACGTCACGTTCGTGGGATTAGTACACGCCGTAACAGAGCACAGTATGATAAGACAAGGCATAAAAATCCACGGACTTTGCATAAAGTCAAACTTTCTTTCCGAAACCCACGTGGCCAATAGCTTCATAACCATGTACGGTAAATTCAAGCTAATGGACGACTGTATCAAGGTTTTCAAAGAAATCGGGTGGTTGTGCAGAGAGATTGTAACGTGGAATGCCTTCATATCCGCCTACACTCACAACGACATGTACCAAGAAGCTCTCCACGCGTTCCGATTGGCCTCGAACGAACTTCTCCCAAACGCCTACACGTTCGGAAGTGTACTAAGCGCGATCGCCTCGTCCGTGTCAATTTCCCTTACTCAGGGGCAAAGGTGCCACGGCTGCGTACACAAGCTCGGGCTCGACCGCGACCCAGTCTTTTCGGGCGCTTTCCTCGACATGTACGCAAAGCGCGGGAGCATACACGAGTCTTGCAAAATCTTCGACGAGCTGGCACAGAAGAGCCAGGTGGCGTGGACGGCCATCCTCTCGGCCCACTCGAGGCACGGGGACCACGCGTTCGTCATGGAGTGTTTTGAGAAGATGGTCTCAGAAGGCGTGAGGCCCGACTCGATCACGTTCCTCGCCGTGCTGACGTCGTGTGCCAGAAACGGGACAGTTGACTAGGGAGTCGCGATATTCCGGTCGATGGCGACCGAGCACTCGGTCGAGCCTTGCGCGGAGCATTACTCGTGCGTCGTGGATATGTTGGGCCGGGCGGGCCGGCTGGAGGAGGCGGAGGAGTTTGTGGGCCGGATTCTGGGTGGGCCCGGGGTTTCGGTGCTGCAGAGCCTTCTTGGGGCGTGTAGGGTTTATGGGAATGTGGAGATGGGGGTTAGGGTTTTGGAGGCACTTATGGGGATGGAGGGCGGTGGGTCGGGGTCGTACGTGTTGATGTCGAACATTTTTGCGGAGAAGGGGAAGTGGGAGAGGGCGGCTAAGGTGAGGAGGATGATGAAGGAGCGAGAGGTGGCAAAGGAGGTGGGGTTCAGTTGAACGGATGTTGGTGGGTCGGGTGCTTGCATGGGTTCTCGTCGGGGGACAAATCTCATCCGCTGTCTCACGAGATATGTGTGATGGTTGAGTTGCTGGGGTTGGAAATGAAGAGAAGAAGGGAGATGATGGAGGATATGATTATCGTTTGAAGCGGTTTTGGTGCTTTTTAATGTGTAAAGGAGTGGTGTGGTTTGGAAATGGACAGAAGAGAGCTAACCAATTTTTGTTTTAGTTATGTGAAATTGTCTCAAGCAAATGATTGGTGGATTTTTGAGTGTTTTGCTGTGTTTTTGGTGCTGCGTATGCGTGCCCGTGCCCACGCGAGTTTTTCCATCTGCAAGGAAATTAAATGGAGATGAGAAGATTGCCATTTTCAATCTATTTATTAGTCTTCCTCTGAATTGGGATGTGTAGGTTGACAATTTCGATCTATTCACATTAAATGGAGCACTGTGCCTTTTCTAGTAAATGTACACAAGCTGGTTAGCTGGCAAACACGACCATTCAGCCATTTTTATCTGGAATTATGTTACCCTTTGATGGGTTTGGTTTGGTGATTATATTACTTCTCCTAAATGTCTATTATGGACTTACACCTGACTCCTCTAATCCATACACCTATGTAATGTAAAGCCCCCTCTTAATGTTGCTCATTTTTTTGAACAATAAAAACAGAAAAGAAGAAGTGGCTTCCGTACAATAGCGACTGAAGTACTGCACATTGGTGTTAGACATATTGCACATTAATGTGTGACAGACAAAACATTAGTGATCAAAACTAAAATAAATATAATTTTTCTGTCCAAATTTATAGGTTATTTTTAAAAGACAAAATTGCCCTTAATATCATGACCTTTTTCAAAATTGCAATTTTTTTTTTTCCGAAACGGCAGAGGTAACTATTATAAAACTCAAAGCGAACAAGGTTCGAATACAAGCCACAAAGTCCAAACCGAGAGTTATAGCTTCCTTCCACTGCTATAACAAATAAAGATAAATCAAGAGTTATAGCTTCCTTCCACTGCTATAGGTTCGAATACAAGCCACAAGGGTGGCCTAGAGCCTCAAATACAACAAATAAAGATAAATCAAGAGTTATAGCTTCCTTCCACTGCTAAAAGCCTAGTACAGAATGCTATACTCAAAGAAGACAAACAAACACAACAAAATTTGAAATCAACACAGAAACATAGTCAGCTAAGATGCAGTAGAGAAGTCAAGTCAATCCTTTTGAGCCATCTTGATTAATGAGTGCACATGAATCAAAGTTTTTTGAAAAATCCAGAGGTTTCTTGACTTCCAAAGCCACCAAAGCATATATGTAGTGAGCTGGATCCTTGCTTCAGCAACTTCAGTACAGTCAATAGAGCACACTTGGTACCACCATGCCTTAAAAGAGTCAGTACATCTTGATATACCATCCCATTGAACTGGAGACAGCTCCCACAGTCTTTGTGCCTTGAACAAGAGAATAATACATGTTCCACTGTCTCTATGGCCTAACCACAAATAGAACAAGTAATATCCACATTAATCCTTCTCTTTTTCAAATGAATAGCAACTGAAAGTGTACCTGCAATGCACTTCCAAAGAAAATGCTTGAGTTTTGCAGCTACTTTTAACTTCTAGTATCTGTACTGTATTTTTTTACTGAGAGTGGCATGAGAGCTGCATTCAGGAATGTCAGTGTGCATAAATTTAAGCAAAGATAAGTGTTCATAGGTGCTAGACACTGAAAAATGGCCCTAGGTGCTAGACACTGAAAAATGGCCCTTTTTCTCAAAACCCTAGAAAATCCTATCAGGTCTGTTGGGATGAAGAGATGAGATACTGAGAATGGCAGCACCATCAGTCTCATCAAAAACCTGTCTGACCAGCCACTCATTCCATTGAGTTCCATTGCTTTGCATAAGATCCTTAAACCAAATCAGATGATCTCTAGAAATTGGAATGAGTATAAGGGATGGCTTGGTGAGATTTGGCACCCAGTTGAAGTCTGTAATTTTTGTGCTGGCACCATTTTTTATTTCTGTTTTCAAGCAACTGGAAATTATGGGTATAAGCTCCATCCAACAATTCCACATCCAAGATCCACTCTGAGTTTAACAGCATGAGTAATAGAAGAGTTAGGGAAGTACATGTCCTTAAGGACTCTGCTGGCCAACAATTAAAGATTTGAGGCAACCCTCCTAATTGTTTACAAATCAATGACTGATTGAATAATTGCAGGTCCTTGAAGCCAATACCCCCATTCTTCTTTGGAAGTGAAAGAAAACTCCATTTTTTCCACTGTATGTTCTTGCTCTGCTGATCTCCTGAGTTCCACCAAAATTCACAGAGTTTTGAGATTTCAGAGCATAAAGTCGGTGGAAGCATGAAGCAGGACATGGAGAAGATAGACAAAGCTTGAATAACAGCTTTTAGGAGCACCCTCTTGCCAGTTGGGGAGAGGAGTTTGGATTGCCAACTGAGCAACTTGTTTTTGAATGCATTTAGAATGTACTCAAACACTTGCTTCTTAGATCTTCCAATGTCAAAAGGGAGACCTAAATAGCGGGTAGATCTGTGAGAGACAATACCATTGAGTATTCTGCAAATGGAGGACTGCAGGTGCTGAGGAGTGTTTCTGCTGAAAAATATGGCAGATTTGTGCATGTTAACTGCTTGGCCAGTGAATAACTTGTACTAATCAAGAATGTTCATCAAAATAGTAGCTTGATCTGTTCCCGCTCTACAGAAGAATAAGGAATCGTTTGCAAATAGGAGATGAGAAAGCAAAGGACCATTCCTTGATATTTTCATGCCTTTAAGAGAACCAGAGCCAATAGAGTTAAGAATCAAGGCAGTAAGTAACTCAACAACAATGATGAATAGGTAAGGGGAAAATGGATCCCCTTGCCTACTACCTCTGGATGGTGTCACAAAACCACTGACATTTCCATTGATCTTAAAAGAATAAGTAGCATTAGTGACACAAATCATAATCATCTTCACAAACTCACAGTGAAACTCCATCTGAAGCATAAATTTTTTCCAGACAAAGCCATTCAACCCTGTCAAATGCCTTCATTAAGTCTAATTTGAGAACCATAAAACAATTAGGACCTGAGGAATGCCTGTTTAAGAAGTGGAAAGCCTCTTGTGCTATTATGAAATTATCAAGTTGTCTCCCCTCCAGAAAGGCTGATTGGAAGTCACTTATACAGAAATTCAAGCAAGCTTTAAGTCTTTGTGCCAGAAGTTTACAAAAAATTTTATACACACTGCACAAACATATTGGTCTAAATTGCCCCAAAGTTTCTGGATTCTGACATTTAGAAATGAGTGATATGACGGTGTGATTCAAATATTTGAGAAGCATACCTGATTGAAAAAAGCTCATGATAGCAGCCATGAGATCTTGCTTGATTAAGCTCCAGAAATGTTGGTAAAAGACTGCACTAATCTCATCCTCCCCAGGTGCTTTGTCTGGTTGCAAACTGAATAAAGCTTCATTAACCTCGTGTTCATCTGCTGGCTTGAGCAATGCTGTAATCATGTCAGGGGTTATTGCTTGAGGGATAAGATGAAGAATAGAGTCTCCACCCCCAACAGCCATCTGATGAGAAGAGGTGGGAATAAAAGTCAACAATGTGGCCCTCTATTTCTTGCTTAGATGAAAATATCCTGCCCTGGGGTGAAATCAGTCTTGTAATTGCATTGTGCCTTCTCTTTTGGAGGATGAATGCATGAAAAAAGCGATTGTTTGCATCCACTTCTTTTAACCATCTCAGCCTTGCCTTCTGTTGCCAAAAAATCTCCTCCTGTAAGTGACCTTGATTTAATTCCCTTCTAGTGGTGTCCCATGATTCCCAGTTGATATCAAATTTGTCCCTGTTTAGTATTTCCAGCTTTTGTGTAAGATCAACAATTAAGGATTGATTCTGGGTTTGAAAAGAGGAGCTCCAAATGAGAAGGGCCACTCTGGTCTGTTTGATTTTCTCTTTCAATTGAAAGAAAGGGGTTCCTGTGATTTCTGTAGACCAAGCATGTTGAACTACTTCCTCCAAACCTGCTTTGCCAATCCATTTCTTGTCAAAATGAAATCTACCCGTCCTTTTTTCCCTTGGCAGTCCAAAATCAAGAAGTAGTGCTGAGTGGTCTGAAGAACTTCTTATAACATTTGTAACCAGAGCATTGGGATAATTCTGAAGCCAGTCCCTTGACCCAAAAGCTCTATCCAAGTATTTTTCAACTAATTCAGCCTTAGCTCTGTTATTGCACTATGTGGATGGATAGCCATCCATGTTGATTTCCTCCAATTCCATCATGTTAATAAAAGAGTTGAAACCTTGAAAACTAACTGGACTTCTAGGAATACCACCAGATATATCAGTATTGGAGCATAAGTCATTCCAATCTCCAATGGAGAACCAATTGCTGCCCCACCCTGATTTATCCAGAAGCATTTCATCCCATTGAGCAGTTCTAATGGTTCTGCAAGTGTTTAGATATACAAAAATACCCCACTGAGGGGATTAAGAGTGAATAATAAATTGAACTGCAATATAAAAATCCTTACAAATCACTTGCTTAATCACAACCTGAGCATCCCAAAACAAAACAAGGCATTCATTAAGGCCTATTAGATCAACAACCACTAGTTTGTCATCAAAACCTAATTTTCTACTAGCTGATTTAACAAAAGATTTTTGTTTTTTCGTTTCTGAAAGAAAAAGAAAATGTGGGTGATGAGTTTTAACTAACTCTCACATTTGGGAAATTGTAGAGGGCCCACCCAGCCCTCTACAATTCCAGACCACAGCTAACATTGATCACTGTGGTGCTATTCAAGGCTGACAACCCCCACCTCTTCCTTAGTGAATTTAAATTTTTTACTATCACCTGATTGGATTGGTTGGTCTGTCTGTTGTGCTGAAGGAGAATCATTGTCCTCCCTTGTTCTTTTCACTCCAGGGACTTGATCACAAATGATAGGATTCACAGGACTAATAGGCTCTCTTTGTAATCTTCCCATTTTACTGCTGGTTCTTCTCCAGATTTTGAGAGGTGCTATCTGTGCAACCTTGGGAGGAGTTGGAGTGGTGGTGTGTTGTGTTGTGGTATGGCCAGCAGGTTCCACTATTTCCATGTCCATGGCTTTAGCTGA